CCTACATCTATTTTTAGCGATGAGTAAGCTAAGGTTGTATTCATGGCTGAACTTAAACCACCCATTAGCTGTCTTTCATTAGAATAACAGCTTTGAAATCAAACATTTCGTTTTTAAAATTGAAAGATTTACTATATAAAAAAAAAAGTTAACTTTAACTTGAATTTAAAGATAAGTTAATTGTTTAATGACATAATTCTTGCAATAAGACAACTGCAAGTAACCTTGACATGAGATATAATGGTGAAATTGTAAAGAAAATAATCATATAAATTAATTGAGCGAAAATGAGCGAAACGAAAAGTGAATTATTTGTTTTTGCACTAAATCATGTTACATGCTCACAGGTTTTCTTCTACAATTTTCCTATCCTTACTTCAGAGGAAGTGCGTTACTTGGGACTTTATCTGAAAAAGAGACTGATCTGGTGAACTTATACTAAACTGTAAAGAAAACAACTCAGCAAACGATTTGGACTCTTATTCAGGCTACGTGACAGACGCTCCAAATTATCCATAGCTAACGAACTTAATTTCTACAAATTAATTATAAAACCTTATAAAGAAATATAAATAGAAAATTATTCGAAGCCATCCACACCACAAAAAACAATAGAATAACATTTTTTTTTAATTTTAATGAAATTTACAACTGTATTACATAGAATAACATTAAATTACAAAACAGACACTTAACATTTAGGAACACACTATACAGATATCTTAATTAAATTAAAATATAGTAGAACTGGAATGCAGCTATGTAACAAACAGTCATTAATCATCAATAGGAAAATAGTAAATAATTAGAAAATAGTTAATAATATCTCCCATAGCACAGGCGGATCAACGGGGGGGGGGGGAGAGGGGACGGGCTTTCGGGCTGAAGCTGAAACCCCCCAAAATGGTAAAATATAAACATGTTTTATAGGAAAAAACACTAAAAACTATCTCTTGAACTATTATTGTTCGTGTAATTACATTTAATAGAACTTCAAGAATCACTTAAACACCATTTCACATGGGTAATTAGTTTCTCTCTTTTTTTCAAATTAATTATCGTAATATGAAAAAAAAAACTTTCGGGCTGAATCCCCTCCAAAATTAAATTCTGGATCCTCCAGTGCCCCATAGCAGATGCCCAATTATTGATCCCAGGAATGTGATGCTCCAGACAGTATATTTTTATCACACATAAATTTCAAAGTATGACAAAGAAGTACACCAGGTAATTATAACATATTATGTAACAACTCTACTTTAACGTTTCCTAGCCATAAATCGTTATGAAAGTATGGAATTTAAGTTTTCAAGATGCGAACAATTTTCCCGAAACGTCAACTTGACATGTAATTCAACAAATAAACGAAATGTTTGTATACCTGGAAGTTTTTATTGCCAAAAATAAACAATAAATTATAAAACCTGATTTATGTGATTGAGCTATGGGACACTGAGAAAAAGTCTAATAAAGAGAAAATTCAAACTTTTCATCAAACGTTTTACGAAAAATTGCATCTTTCTATGTGACAAATGACATTACACAAAAATTTTGATTTACAAACGGTTTCAGAGACTGCAACACATTAGTTTAAAAAATAATATTAAATTCTAAACAGACGATTTAAATATTATTTCTTTGGAATAATAAATTTAAATATTTTTAATCGATAAGGATTTACTTTTATATCCAAGATCGTAATACAAAACCTGTAGCATATGCATTGGTTAGTTATAATATTTCGTTTGGTTATTATTAATTATCACAGCATATATAATTTATATTGATTAGTACTTTAAAATTTACAGTTACGTCGTTGTTCTACCAAAGGAGCGATATTTCAACACTTATGTAGATCAGCTGTATCCTAAAGGTAGTTTTCCATAATCACAATGCAAAACAAAATGGAAAACTCAAAGTCATAAATCTTTGTGTCGTCAAGAGTTGTTTATGATATTTTTTAACAGCTAAATGCCTCAACATTCGTTATTACAGTATAGATATAGCCAATTTTGTTTAGTACTGAAAAGAGAAATGTACCTCGATTAAAACATCTAAAAATTAACTAGATAAAATATGAAATTTATAAACCATAAAATTTAATTGATCTCTTTCCTAAACACAATATGTTGCCAAGTCTTCACAATGACTTCCTTAATAAATTAAATTACCTAAATTCTAAATCGTGGGATATGATATGGTATAAAGTTATGTATTCAACGAATGAGTTATAATTTTGGTAACTGATAAATTTTAGAAGTGTATATTGGGAACATAATGCAATTTAGTGGAAAATAACGATGTATCCATGTGGTCCACGATCCATGTGGTCCATATGAGATGAAAGCCTTGCGAGCAAGCTAAAAACTATATAAAATGAAGTAAAGCCCTAGTATACCTCCAGACCTAAAATCGTTGAGAGGAGGACGTACTGACTCGACTCAGAACAAGACACAAGAGTCTGACTCATTCCTACTTCATTACAAAGAAAAAGCTACCAAAATATAATGTATTGACAGCATGACGATATTGGTCACATTTTCCATGAATGTCCATATTTTATCGCACAGCTCAATAGCTTTGGATTAAAACCTGAACTATTAACATTTCATAGAGATGATAATGCAACAGTTGCATTGGTCCTCACATTTTTAAAATTTAATAAAATAAATGAAATCTGACAGACAACCGACTGTAGATATGAGAACAGAATGTTAGAATAAATTAAATAGAAAAAATGTCGATGACTACCAAGTGAAGTTTTATATTTCGAAAGCTTTACGCCAGCAAACAAAAACGAACTATTGAGAAATGTCACGAGGGACAGAGAGGAGATATGCAGGACTTGATAGAGGAGAAGAATTGAACAAAGGAGAAAGGACTTTGCCGAAAACGTAAATATAATTTGAATATGAAAAAGAAAAAGATAAAGAAATGCGGATAGGTCGGGATTTACATAAAGGGTCAGAGGATGAAAGGCCGAAGTCAGATTTCGAAAGGAGATAGCCGATAGGTAGCAAAAAGGGAGCACATGGATCAAGCTGATAGAGACATCGACTTGGGGGATACACGTCAATTATCTGAGGGACTGGCTCCACTGTACGTACCGCCTCCTCTCCCACCCCCTTCCGCCCTCTCTCTCTATATCTCTCTCTTTCTCTCTCTCACGCTCCCTCTCCCTACCTCTTCTCACTCCCTCTCTCTCTTGTTCCTTTCTCATATCTCTTCCTTGCTCTGCTCCTTATATTCCTTGTTTATGTCTTGTTGCCTTTGTAGCTACGTCCTGGTAATAATGTCTCCTAATCATTATCCAGAAGCTATGAGATTCTAGTATTTGAAAGTTGCATTAGTCATATAGGGACTATTTTCTTGAAGGTCACAGGGGTGGTATGAAGATTTCTAATCTCTGCAAACAGTCTATTTGTATAATATTTTTTTGTTTTTTAAAAATATTTAATCCTTTTTATATTTATAATTTGATTCATTTGCAAGTTCCTGTTCACACCTGCCACTGACAAAATTGCTGACAATCAATGATAAGCAAATGCATTACTTCTTTATATATATATATATATATATATATATATATATATATATATATATATATATTTTTTTTTTTTTTTTTTTTGTTGGCGCTAAAGACCATGAAAGATCTTTGACCGCAAGTGTGGTCTCCTAGATCACATCCCGATTCCCGATTTAAAGTACGGGCTAGGGTGATCAATCTTACGCCCGGTCGGTATGAGTTGCCTCTAGTAGACTGACGGGGCTCACATACGTGGGGGAGGGGAGGAATCTCGGGCAGCATGGCTTTCCTTGGTGTACGGTCACCCATCCAAGTGCTAGCCACGCTCGGCGTTGCTTAACTTTGATTACCTATTGCAAGCGTCTTAGCCCGTACGGCTACCCCGGCTCCCTATATATATATATATAATAAATAGCGAATTTGAAAAGATATCTTTGGTTTTATTTTAAATCAAATTTCAAAAGCCCCTCTGCGAGAATATTTCGCGTCTAAGAATGGAAATTTATTCAGTAAAAAAAAAACAATATTCAATGTATTCTTTGCACATTCTTTCTTGTTATCTTTTCGTGAATAGAAATTTCCCGATTACAGAAAAGGGGATTAAATATCAGAACAAAATTTGATTTATTTTTGTTTTAGCATGCGATACTTTTAAATCGAACAATGTTTCTTTCAATAATTTTAGTTTTTCTCATGTGTGAAAAATCTGATGTTTTTCTCCTTTAGCACTGGTGAACATATTAAAATGAATTTAAAAAAAATTCTTGTTTGGTTCAATGCTCATTTAGACTTACATTTCAAGAAAGATGTTGTTTATCCTATGGTTCGTACAATTTTGTTTTTCTTGGGACAAATTTACTGTATAGTATATATTTTACATCTACACCGGGTCAAAACTTAGATACGATTAGATACAAATCAATTATATTCACAATTATATCACAAATTATTTTCAATTATTTTATTTTACAAAAGCTGAAACTATTTTTAATATCTGATAGAAATTTAATTTTTCATTGAAACTGTTGAAAAGTTCATAAGATATTAGCAAATTACCTAACGTAATCGTGGATTCGTATAAATTGTATCAACCATTATCTAAAATAGTATCATGTTTAATCATCGTTTTCGGAAAATGTTGCTATTAATGAAGAAAACAATATCTAGTTTCTTCACGAAAATAGTTTCTTCCCTTAATATTATAAAGTTGAGATTAATTTGCTGTTATATTAATTTTTTATCAAAAGAGTATTAGTTTTTTTTCATTCTGTTTCTTTATCAATTCCTGTAAAAGATAAAAGTGAGAATAAGCGAATTTCCTGAAGAATTATAATCTTAGGGCTTCAGGTATATGGACGATAGTACACAGCAGCACCTCTTCCCAGTTTTGATAAAGAAAGGAGGTTTCTCATTTAAATTCTTTTTAGTCCCTTTCTAATGAGCATGTGAGCCGTAGCCATATTACTCTCTTGTTATGTCCGGGAAGGTTATTAAGGAACCAAGAATAAAAAGGATGTATGTGTTTGTCGATAGTTTGTAAGTTAGTGTAATGAGTGTTGCTATTTAAGCATCAGGGAGCGTCTTATATTAGTCTTAAATGTTTGGATTGTAAATATGACTGTCTTTATTATTTTTTCCAATAATTCATATTACTTATTTATTTTTCTTTGCATTTACTTCGCAATTGCCTTATATTACTTTTTTACATCCAAAGCAAATAAGTTGATACCGTTATGATTTGAAAGGCTTGGTCTTCTAATCTTTGCCCTTCTTATTAATATTTACATTACTTACATGATTTAAAGTTTTCTTAGTTCAGATTTTATACTTCATCACAAATCTTAAACTTTTTTGATTACAAGAAATCTTATATAGTTTTACACGTTATATTAATCTGTAAAATTAATGCCAAGGTTACTAATAGTTTTTCATTTTTTTTTCAGGTAAGTTGATTTGTACACCATCTTGGACAAATTCTAGCTGTGATTGTGGTAATACATTACTGGATAATTTTTAATTGCTGTGTACTACAGGTAATTATTTATTTATAGAAATGATGATGAAAATTGCATCGGAACATTCATTTCCCATACATTTTTGATATTTCTAATTTTAATCTTTTTGTCGTTTGTTCGATTTATAAAAAGGAGGTTGAAATTTAAAATAAATATCTAGTAATCTAGAGATTTTATTTCTTTAACAAATACAAATGTCTTGATATTGTTTATTATTTAAATTATTCTTATCCAACACAAGATAATACAAATAATAGATCAAATTTATCAACATATGTCTTAAAAAATAAGTATTTAAACCCCCATTTTTCAGTAGTTTAAATCTTGATCGCTCCTTTTAAAACTGTTTCCATTTCCACAACTTCGGAGGAATCTTTTTATAAAAAATTAATTATTTGTATTTTTTAAAAATAAATTTGTAAATGTACTTTAAAAAAAATTTTACATTGCATGAGAAATATACAGTAATTGGACCCAGACTGATTCTTATATTAGGAATGTACTCCACAATTACCAAATGTACTTCATGCTGAAATAAATTGATTTAACAATACTTTTAAGCAGGGCTTGAAACGGAAAAAGTATATTATTTTCAAAATGTTTCAGTATCATCGGAATTTTTACTGTCGGTAGTTTTTTACTTCTTATGAAACTAGAACTATTTCCCTTGCAACTTTGTAAGTAAAAGTTTTACAAAAACTTTTATTTTTTTTTTAAATTATATAAAAGTTCTGTCGATCCAAAAAATGACTTTTATTCATCGCTACTCAAGCAAATGACACATCGGAATTATGTTTAATTAATTTAAGACAAATTATAACTCTAATAACCAATTACTGTTTATTTTTCATTTTTTAAGAACTTAAATAAATAAAACTTTTATCATATATCGATAACTTTATTCCAAAAAGTACCTTACAACTCTTATTTTAACAACTTTTTTCCTAAAAAGCTTCACAGAAACTGTTAAAATGTAGCTTTTTTAATAAAGTAAAAAAATTCCATTGTCAAAATTTCTAGTTTCGAATTAACACAAAAACATTCAAAAATTAAAGTTCCAGTCCATATTGAAACTTATCAAATATGAAAGTAAACTTTTATTTTTAATAGTGCGAATGTGCAAATTCCTCACTATAAACAATGTCCATATTGAGAGAGACTTATATTATTCAATACAAAACAAAATAACATAAAAAAACTTCGTTTCAAACTCCGACATTTTTTATGTCTTTTAGTTATTTAAATAGTAAAGCAATATATATATATTAATTGTACAATTTACTGACATCACATTGGTGTGATTATTAATAATATTCTTCTTGACCCTAAATATTAATTATTTTGTACATAAATATTTTTCATCGACTTCTTATAGAATTTATTAAGAATAATATATCCTTAAATATTAGGTTCCTTTGTATTTAAAATATGAAAAATAAAACGAGTGTTTGGTGTAATATTATATGTATGATTGTTGATTTTAGAGACAGCAATAGCAATCAGGATGGGCTGTAATCAATTCCGGCGCTGGTAATACCATTCCGCATGACGAGTGCCCCACGCTGGTGGTCTACGATTTCTTCAAATATTTCTCACCGCTACGTGTTGAAATATACTTTTTATTTAAATTTGTCTCATTAAGCAGAATAAAAATGCCTTTTATAACAAATTAATATTTGAGTATCTAATTTCTTCGTTTAAAATTTGAAATTGAACTCAGTGAATGATTTTTTTTTTAGTTTAAATATGTAACAAAATATTTTGTATTAATATTTTTCCTCATATTAATAATCAGTACAATAAAATCAATAACAATTTAGAGTAATAAGTTATTATTAGTAATTAAAAAAAATGTATTTAATGAAATTTACAACTGTGTAAACAATACAATTAGTAAAAATGCACACATTAGAAATAATGACATGAACAGACTTTAAGAGATACTGTCCAGTGCCAGCACTCCCTATTTAATTCTAGGTGAGAAGATCACGAGGCCATCTTCTTTTCAGACGCCTAGGAGGATTATCAGTATTCGAGGAAGAAGCAAGGCTGGAAACAAGTGGATTCGGATGGGACTGGAGTTTATCATGAAAGGATAGGTATCTGGCTCGGGCTAAATCAGCGACAATTTAAATTTCTAAAAAAAAAATCTTTAAGCCTATATTAATAAAGTTGAGATTTGTTTCGAAATAAGTTAGATACACCTATTGTTGTGTAAAAAAAAAAAAAGATTTAATATTCTATTAAATCAATATACCTGTGATTTTAGCAGAAATAAATACAAGTAATTAATTACCAAGCTTAGATTTCCTTTTTTTGCTATATCCTTTAATGCATTATTATAAAGTAATTATGAATTACTTTTTCTCTTGGAAATTGATTCTTAGTGCTTTATTTTAAGAACTTATCAAGTTATGAACATCAGCCTAAAACTTCGTAAATGGCTTCATCTTATCGTAAACAAATTTTTATCTACGAAAATTATTAAAAATAGTAATGAAGAGAAGAATAGTTGGGGTGGTCAGTCAAAAAGGAAGGCAAAAATAAATGTTAATATTTATTTTTTTCAATATTAGTTTACGGCATATGTAAAAAATAAATATTAACATTTATTTTTGCCTTCCTTTTTGACTGACCACCCCAACTATTCTTCTCTTCATTATCCACGACAGTCAACCAATTACCAATTATTAAAAATAGTAGGTTTCTCATTAAATTGATTAATTTAATGAGGTACTAAAATCTCATAAATACTCATTTTATTTACATTTGAATCGTCAGAAAATTGTATCACGAAATCGAAAAAAAAAAGGTGGCCTATAAAAATACTGTGCCATTTGACCTGTATAACCTCGATATTTTGACATGGGAGTAGAGATCACGGCCTAAAGGCCCAATATTTTTGTAGGCCATCTTTTTTTCCTCGATTTTATTTTCAAATTATATTACAATTCAAATGGAAAGCAAATGAGTGCTCATAAGATTTTAGTATCTAATTAAATAGACAAAGTTTACTGGTATCCACATTGAAAACACGCATATTTCTACAATTTTCGTAAATAAAAAAAAATTAGGTTTCGATGAGAAGAAGCTGCAGATGTTGATAATTTAATCAAAAGGAATCTGTACCACAGACTAAAATGTAGATTTAGTATTAGGAACTTCAAGTTGTTCACATAAACCAATAAGAATCATTTTCTATGATAAAAAAAAGTGTCGTTTTGTAATTAATTTATTATAATGCATCAAAACCATAGAATAAAAAGGATATTGATCTTGGTAATAAATTACTGTATTTATTTCTGATAGAATCACAGGTATTGTGGTTTAACGGAACATCAAATCACATTTTTTTTTTTTTTTTTTTTACACTACTATAAGTGAATCCAACTTATTTTTAAACAAAACTTTTCTTTATTAATATGGAATTAAATCTTATTGAGGACGTTTTAAAAGAAGAGTATATGTTGCCCAATTGGAGGGTGATAAAAAAATTGGGAATAATCCATCATTTTAAGGCACAAAGTTGTCTTTATTTCTTCCTCAGGGGAAAAAAAATTAATGTTATTTAAAATTGGTATCGGTTGAATGAAATTCTTTCCAAGGATTCTATTAACGTTGAATTCAGAGAAAATCCTGAGGGGCTTTGAATATGTTTGTTAAAAGCCGAAAAAAACATACACTACAAGAAAAGCAAGTCCTAAAATGTTTTTTTCATTTGCATAAAAAAATCATATTCAAGAGTTCTAAGAGAAGCTAAAAACGAATCAAACTTGCTCATAAAAAAGTTATTTGATACTAAGAGTATTTTTTTGCTTTCACTTACCTATATATGTAATATATAGTAAGGGTTTAGTATTGCGATCGTGAACATTTTTGAACAGTCTAGCTCAAAAATAAAATGTCGTACGGAAGTGAAATTGCATATTTAAGGTTTTTATATGCTAGGGATGTTACAGTAACTTTTTCGTCCAAGTCGGCTAACCGAAAGTGGCACTTTATGTATTGCATTAAACACATTTTTAAAATTATCCCGAAAACCACTCTTACGATTTTGATTAAATTCATCATATCACTGTAAAATTAAGCAGTTTTTAATAAAGATTGGAACAGGGCTTAAATGGCTAATTTTCAATATTAGTTTACTCTAAAGTAACTTTATTTTTTTTTATTTGAAATAATTGGCCATTTCACATTAACTTCTAATATGAAATATAGTTAAATATAAAATATGAAAAAAATTGATATATAACTAAAGGAGAAATAAGAGATCATAACGGAGAATAGTTGTAATTGAGGAACCAAGGAATACGAGCGCACCCGAAAGATTAGAACACGCTTCCATACGTATCATGAGATTAATATTATACGGAGTTCGATAATATTATATAAATATACATATGCGGTTTTCATAAATGCTACTGTTGGTATTATTTAATATTTAATTGTATAGGTAACAGAGATATAAATATTGAAATTTGTATATATGAGGGTACTTATACAAATAAAAATACCCACAATGAAATATAAATAAATATAGAGTCTATATATTTTGCTTTCACTTCGCTTTGTTTGAAAATTCTTATTTCAGCTAAGAAGAGGGTGGTAAGTGAAAGTTGTGTGATGCGCACACCGTGCCAGATTTTTTTATTTATAAAAAGAAAAGATAACAATTGGTATATAACAAACTAGAAATCCGTGCTAAGAAAAGGCAAAAAACAATAATATAAATATTGTTAATTTTTTTTCTTCGCTCCTAAGCCCCATTGGAATGAACGCCATAATATGTGTTTAAGATTTTTCGATGTAGTGTCACCAAAAAACATTTGGTTGAAATCGGTGATCTAAATGACTGTATACTTGATCACTTTTATAGGATTGTCATTTTCAGGAAAAATTTCCCTCATATTATGCTTACACGTTGGTTGGTCTGAAAGTCCAACATTGTGTCTACATTACAGTCCAACATTGTGCTTACTTAATGTGACATGAAAATATTTGG